TATATATATATATTGTGGCTCCTAATGCTTGATCTTGGTATTCTTTATTCCATTCAACAATAAAAATTTACTAATAATGATCGGGAAAGAGTATTTAAAATGTATAAGTGCGGCCGTTAAAGTATTGGGAATTTTAAACTCCTCCTTCCCCTCCTTGTTAACTTCCCCTCCTTTGCTCAAGTAAGAATGTCGCAACTCCATTTTTGCATTAACCTACCACTTTTTCTGAAATAAATCTAATTCTAGGAATTTCCGGATTGAATTCAAATAAAAGATTTAACTTTGCTTATAACAAAGTTAACATTTTAATGCATTTCGTGAAAATTTGTAGCTCCTTGAAGAAATTTTTTCTAGTTTTTTTCCCATCAATATTGACTTTCATATTCTAAATTTTCAAAGTGTAATTTTTCGTACATTTTTGTTCTCACTTCAAACATTTTAAAAGTAAATAGATTTTAGTGTCTTTATAAGCATTACTGACTTGTCAGTAAGAATAAGAAATTTCCTTCAGGTGTTAGACATAATGTTTCAGCGTCCCCAGTTGAAATAATTGTTACTTTTTACATACATGGCTTGTTTATTTTAATCGAATAAAAAAGACGCTCATGCGTAGCCAAGATGACAGTTAATTGCCTGAAAAAAGCTGGTGATAAAGATTTGATATACTTTCATTTTACTTTCGATCTGAACAAATTTGCAAGAGTCCATCTAATTAGATATAAAAAATGCCTAAGAAATTAAGAAACCCTTAAATAAGTTGTTATTGTAACTCATGCTGCAACTGTCAGACGAGGTCAGATAAGACCCATTAGACCGTCAGGAAATCAAAAACCAGAAAGGGAGAAACGTATAAAACACAAGACCAGCTGAACGCCATGTGTGACTGTGATCACTATCAGTGCTCCTCTTCAACTGTCAACTCCTTCTAAGACGGCAATGCTCTGTTACATTTGAGAACAAACGAAGAGCCCATGGAGGACTTCTTTGAAATTCTCAAATAAGTAGTCACGATAAAATATTTTATTGGGTCTCTCTCTTCGTATTCAAATGTTGGCCTTTATTTGTCATTTTGAAATCTCGAACGGACCTCACAATCAGTGACTCGTCTCTAATTAATACAGATTCTTTCCAGAATATTGTTAACATATAATCTCACTTAAACTTTTAACTTTCACATATAATCTCACTTAAACTTTTAACTTAAACATATAATCTCACTTAAACTTTTAACTTAAACATATAATCTCACTTAAACTTTTTTATTTAATTTAAATGGCCTTTATTTGATCTTTATTTATTATTGCTGGCTTTTGTCATTTTTAAATCTCAAATGGATCTCGACGGCCTCTTATTTTTATAATTGGCCTTTATTTATTATCGTTGGTCTTTATTTGTCACCTCGAACCGACCTTAAACTAAGCGAATCGTCTCTAATTTATTCAGATTCTTTCCAGAATATTGTTAACATATAATCTCATTTAAACTTTTAACCTAAACATATAATCTCACTTAAATTTTTAACTTAAACATATAATCTCACTTAAACTTTTAACTTAAACATATAATCTCACTTAAACTTTTAACTTAAACATATAATCTCACTTAAACTTTTTTTTATATTTAAATTGCCTTTATTTGGTCTTTATTTATTATTGTTGGTTTTTGCCATTATTGAATCTCGAACGGATCTCGACGGCCTTCTTTTGTTATTATTGGCCTTTATTTATTATGGTTGGTCTTTATTTGTCATCTCGAACTGACCTTAAAATAAGCAACTCGTTTCTAATTTATACCAATTCTTTCCTGAATATCATTAATATATAATCTCACTCAGACGGCAAGTTTCTTCGGGGAAAAAAATCACTTTTGGGTCGGATTATTCATTGCGAAATCGGTCTGAATAGCTGCTGGTATATACTTAATCATTACAAAAATGGGTCCTATGTTACATATAAAGCTGAATTTCACAAACTGTATCATTTTTAACTTTCGTAAAAGCAGTTAAAACAATAATTTTAACAAAATGCACACTCACTCGCACTTCTTCTCCAGAATGGCTTCTTGGAAGGAGTGTAGGAGAGTCGCATATTCTGCATGTCCACCCTGTACTTCCTTCTGTACCATTTGTCTGCAGATCGTACTTTGTACATGATGGTCCCTTGAGACATCCCCTTCAGGATCTTGCTCAGGGGCATCACTGAAAGAATATGGATTGTTTGATTCGGAGAAATACCTTCTTTTAAAAAGCTTTTTCTACTGACGTGGTACACTATCCGGCCAAAAGTATCCGGTTGTTACGATAGTGGAAGCATAGTGGAGCAGTGGTTGTTGACTTAACCGGTGAATGTTGACAATCGCATAGCTGCTTCGGTAAATGTCCGAAATCTATACTACGTCTAGTTAAGTGCCATTGCCCGGTATGCCCTAAATTAATGTTTTTTTAAGGTTCAGTGCTATTTCTTGGTATACGTTTGCCCGGTATACCCTACATCAGTGTTTCCCGAACGCATGACTTTTGTTTACCCTTTCTAAATTTTTCGTAACGCTGTGTACCACTAATAAAAAAATTTATGTATTTTTTACTATAAAAAAATTGCACAGAAGTTAAAAATCCCAACTGGCTGTTGACACCACTGATAATTAACTGTTAATCCTGCAAAAAATAGCCAATAGAAAAATACGTAATCGTAAATTTTCTTGATGTTCGTAAATTTTCGTTGTTTTTAAATAAAATTTTTTGAAATTTTCGTCTGTTGCGAGATATTTCGCATAGGAACGCGTATCCCCGCTAAACTGTTCCCGTACCCCTGGGGGTACGCGTACCACACTTTGGGAACACTGCCCTATATCAATGTTTTTTTAAGGTCAAATGCCACTGCCCAGTATGCATTTGACAGGTATTCCGAACACTGATGTTTCTCCTAATCTATCATCAGCAGATATTAAAATAACGAATAAATATAATAATATCAACGAGTAAATTAATATGGTGAATGTTCGAAATATTTGTTATATCTGATTTGGTATTAATTTATTCGTTGTATGTACTTATTATATTTATTCGAGATTTTAGCATCTGCTGAGGATAGATTAGGAGAAACATCAGTGTTCGGAGTACCGGTTAAACGCATACTGGACAGTGACACTTAACTAGACCTACTGTTTGTCTACGATAGGTACTCTGCTAGACATTCATCTGGAGCTGTGGGCGGTGACTATGGTAACGAGGTATGATTATTTCAAGTAGGGATGCGGGATCCCTCTTTAGGACTGGTTTCAGCGAAAGAAAAGGAGACCTCTTCATCGAAGCCACCCTCCCTAAAANCGATTTTCTTGTTATAAACATTATTTAAGAAATTTCTTTTTTTTTTTAACTATCTTTTTCAACAAAATGAATTAACATTTTTATTCATTTACGAAAAATTAGATGCCAGAGCGTTATGAATATGTTACCGTGAATGAATTAAATAAAGAGAATGTCGACTTTCACCGGTGAATGTCAACAATCACTTAGTGTCTTTGGTGAATGTTCGAAATATTTGTTATATCTGATTTGATAATAATTTATTCGTTGTACTTATTATATTTATTCGATATTTTAATATAAATAGGATAGATTAGGAGAAACATCAGTGTTCGGAGTACAGGTTAAATGTATACCGAGCATTGGCACTTAACTAGACATAGTATGTATTTCGAACATTTACCAAAGCGACTATGTGATTGTCAGCATTCACCGGTGTATGTCAACAACCACCCATTTCGATCATTCACAGTAAAATATACATAGCTTAGAGTAACAATATGAAATGTTATTTCATATTTTAGATAATTCGTACAGGACAAGTTATCAGAAACTTGCAAAAGATATTCTTAATTTAAAAAAAAAATCAAAATATACTTACGTATTGAAAATAAACAACATGAAAAATATTAAAAGAAGTTGTATAATCTGCGCATAAAGCTACAAAGAACCCTTAATATGATACAATTACAAATAGAACTCAGGCAAAGCACTCGGAAAATTAATAAAAAATTAATAGACTTGTTTTTTTTTTTAAAAAAAAAGATATGTTTGAATAAATTAAATAAAGAATTAATTAGCCACGAAAGGATATAAATTTATGGAAAACTCACATTACGTCGAATTATTAGATAAGAAGCATATTATCACTACACATCATAAAACTCATTGATAATTTAAAAAAAAAAAAGTGAAATAATTTTTACCGTCATCCGAGCCATCCTCTGACATGATATCTCGCAAAATCAATTCCTAAAAAATACGGGTTAAACGGCGAGTAATAAACGTTCTTTTAAAAATGTGATTCAATCATAACAGATGTTTGACACTCACGTACTGATGCCAAGTTTCATAAATGAACGGGAATAGAGGACAAAGGGAAAAAGGAGGAGAAAAAAATTGAGATATGAGATAGTAATGTGAGACAAGTAATTTAAATCATCTTTAACCACAGTTCTAAATGAAAATGCGTTCTTCTGAGCTTTTCCAAGACTTAGAAGGGCTGCTAGTTTTAAAGGAACGTTTTCGAAAACAATAAGTAAATAAGATTTGAGAATGCTTTATGGTAAGCTTAAAGAAACACTATTTGAAATTATGAAAAGTGTTTAAAAGGATATATGTTTGTTCGTATAGGTCGTAATAAAAATGTTTAAAAGGATTTTATGGTTAAAAGTGTATTATGTTTGTCCGTATGGATCATAATAAAAACGTTCAAAAGGATAAATGTTTGTTCGTATAGGTCGTAATAAAAATGTTTAAAAGGATAAATGTTTGTTCGTATTGGTCGTATTGAAAATGTTTAAAAGGATATATGTTTGTTCGTAAAGGTCGTATTAAAAATGTTTAAAAAGATATATGTTTGTTCGTAAAGGTCGTAATAAAAATGTTTAAAAGGATAAACGTTTGTTCATATAAGTCGTAATAAAAATGTTTAAAAGGATATATGTTTGCTCGTATAGGTCGTAATAAAAATGTTTAAAAGGATATATGTTTGTTCGTATAGGTCGTAATAAAAATGTTCAAAAGGATAAATGTTTGTTCGTATAGGTCGTATTAAAAATGTTTAAAAGGATATATGTTTGTTCGTATTGGTCGTATTGAAAATGTTTAAAAGGATATATGTTTGTTCGTATAGGTCGTAATTAAAAATGTTTAAAAGGATATATGTTTGTTCGTATAGGTCGTGATGTGAATGTTTAAAAGGATGTATGTTTGTTTGTATAGGTCATAATAAAATTTATTTCAGAATATGAAATATTTGTAAAATCTTTCCTTTTTATACTTGGTTTATTTTCGACCCTGAGAAATAAGTCACGAACACAACATTTTCCCGAAGAATCACGAGCAATTGCAATATACCAAGATGAGAGTTGATTAAGGAGAAATTCGGACTCATTCAAAATTAATTAGTGCAGACTACATTTTATAATAAGAAATCAGATACAAAAACGTCCGTTCTCTGAACAAACATACCTTTTTTTTAATGGATTCGAGTTTCTGACCCACAATATATAGGGGGTAGCCACCATCTGGGAAATAGGGTCCCCATAGTTTGGTCAAAATAGGTGAAACAGGATAATAGAATTTTAAGGAAGTCTTATGTTTAAAAATCGATTCCTCGGGAACTATATAACCGATTTCGTTCGAATTTAATATTTTGCCGTGTAAAATGAGATACTTTAAAATTATGTAAAAAATTGTATACCTTACAATTTAAATTTTTTTCTACGTTTATTAAATAAAATAATAAATATATACTAAATTTTATTTTTTGCATAGATATCTTTGGATAAACGAATTTTATAAGGGTGTGTGAAAAACTTTCAATTCGCTAGATAAGTTCTCGACATATGGCGAAATACACAAAAAATAAAATTAACATTAAGTGGTAAAAACTTTGAACTAAACCTGACAAAACTGTGGGGACTATATTTCTCAGAGTGCGACAACCACCTATATTTCGGAGATCAGAAATGTGGATTCGTCGAAAAAAAGAAATGTTTATTCAGAGAAATAACGTTTTTACGTCTGATTTCGTAACTTAAAATATCGTTTGCGTTAATTAATTAGCATATTTGAGATCACTCTTTCGAACCATTAAGAATGAGTCTTAGAACGCGAAGATCTAATCATTAGATCAAAAGTAATTTAGAGTGGTCTTTTTTTTTGGCGCACTGTACTTAGTTCCCATATCTGCTTAAATATTCGGCATAATGTTCTACAAGCTTTTGTGCCTTCCGACGGTAAGTAAATTGTTTCTTTCATCTGGCTCAAAAGAGAAACGCTTTGAATGCAGGTGTTTGTTCTTTCGCAATGTTTACCCTTACAGGCAATAATAAAACCTCTCTACTAAGCAAACTCGTAGAATCTTTATTATTGTACTCTTGTTTCTCTTTTCTAGCATTTATCATTTAATGATGTCGCGAAATAAGTTCTTTATTATTATTATTTTGTGAGAAGTCTATGCCATTACAGCCTCGGTATTATTTTTAACGATTATTTTTCACCTAACAAGGTGTTATTTTAAAGGATACTTTTACTGATACATTAACATAAAAAATATTACGTTATTATTAATTCTGTTCGTTGCCTTAATTTGATTAAGAATACTTTAACATGTCTAGTACTTCAAAAGTAATACTAGAACTTAATCCAGTATTTTTTGGACCTATTTTGGCGGGGTTTTCACATCTTTATTATATAGGAAAAAAAGAAGTGGGCGAATTCAATTTTAGTAGAGGATTCTTTGGTATCAGTTTACTAGGAATTGAACAGAAGACAAAACAAAACGAAGAGACCCTTGGATTTTAAAAAAGTTTTATAGAACAAATTCACGTATAGAATCGATTTTCTTGTTATCAGTAATTAATGCAAACTATTCTGCCAAAGAGATGCTAAAAGTAAAATTGAAGTCAATAAAAATAATCATGCTTGAGAACTGGTATTCTCAGGTAAACGGAAAAAAAAAGTACTGGAAAAACAGCCCGGAAAAATAAATGAATTAATTAAATGTTGTTTCAAAATTAATTAATATTCAAGGATTAGTTTGAAGTTTACGGAAAGGAAATTTCAATGTTTTATACTTTTTAATACGTTTATTTCTTTTTTTCATACGAGGTTTAAATAATTTCTAATACTAATATTTGCTCTTATCGTATTATGATATGATAACCAAATAAAAATAATTTTTTTTAAGCAAGTGATTTTTTTGAAGAAAAAAAAATTTTTTTATGGAAATTTTCACAATTTTTGTGAGAATTTCATCCATATAGATATATTAAGATGATAAATTAAATATTTTTAACTTATCATATAAGATAAACAAACTGAGAGAATATTGATAATTAACACCTAATATATGATATTATACTATTATAGAAGATATATAATTAAAAATATGTATAAAATTTTTAAATTTTCCTTCCTTACACTTCGAATTAATCCTTGTTTATAATTTTTTTTTAAATTATATATTTACATGTGAATAAATGCTTAATGCAAGAAATAAATTTACATAAATTTCTAAGAGAACAACCTATGACCACCATTTTGTGTATAAATTTTACATTGCGATCTGAAAAAGACTTTTTTTCCAGTGATTTTTTTCTTCCAGGATTCATTTTAAAAGTAATATTTTTGTGTTCTGAAAATCATGTTTTACGAAATGAGAATCTAATTGAGATAGATCAAATATAGCTAAAAAATTGCTGTTTAAATAAAAATTTTACATGTATTTTTGTTGTTTGCGGAAATAGGAGAGAGAGATTTTTTAAATTTGGGATGTTTCCATACAGGGACCGTGGAACCGGGGGCAAAGGGGGCCTCCCGTTTTATAAAAGAAGGATACCGACCCTTTTAAGATCAACATTTTTCACTTAATATTTGTGTTATTAAATTTACAATAAAAAAAAAGAGAATTTTTGCGTCTTAAGAAATTCTTTAAAAAAAAAATTGAAGAAGAGACTTTCGAAAAAAATGCATCAATTTCAAACGAATTTTAACATTTCCTTGGTGAAAATTATTACCAGATCATCCCTTATACACATCCTCCCGCAAAAAAAAAATGTATGTCCCTATTGCTGACCGATAAGGAAAGTCTTGGTTTCAAATGTCCCAGCGAACATAATTTTTTAAAAGAAGTGAAACAATATTAAAATTTTTTTTTTAAAGAACGGTAAATGAGAGATAAATAAATTACAGGTAAACACTTTCTTTCATTAATTTTATTTTAATTTGAAAACAATTCGAACCATGAAGTTAAAATTGAAAGTTCGAATTTTTAATTATGTGTGCTTCAGACACTCGGACTGTTACTAAATAATAATTCGGTCAATTCTCTCACTCTCTCTATACAATATATATATATATATATATATACCCCGACTCTTGAGATACTTCTGCTGTCACTGTCCCAATAAACCCTGAAAAGTTAGTTATGAAAAATTACAAAATGTAGTACTCTCAGATAGCGCGATGTGCTCTCAGATGTCCTTGGATTGGTGACATAAAATAAAGAACACATAAAAAAAAATTCTCCCAGATGAATAATAAAAGAGAAACAACATTGAAATGTCATAATGCGTCTTTCTGTTCTGAAAACGCACGTTTTCATCTTTCTAAAACAAATGGGGGGAAAAAAAGAGAAAAACATTGTTTCGTTTCATACAAGTATATTATGTACACAAGGAGGTTAATGTTTAGAACTAAAATATTGCACCTGTTAAGAGTTGGAGACATAAAAATTGCCATTAAAACGTTCAGGTATGAGAACAGTTCTGTGAAACAAGTCTCGTAATTTTAACTGAAATTTGATTAATGAATGAATTTCAGCATTTATATAATTTCTCGTCTAAGTTCAGACATCTTCTTAAGCATCCTAAAAAATGATGTTTTATACGAATAATGAATGCAACTTGCATGTAGAACACGATTAAATGCACTCATAAGTTTCAGGGCCATAAACCGGCACATTTAACAGTGCGAGGATTTAATTCTTATTTCATAAATGATGATTTTCCATTATTGATTTTCCACATTAAATGTTGGTTTATACATTCACTATTCCAATCTCACGATTAACTTTTAGCATCTTATTCTAGCATATAGTATTATAAAATAATCAGAACTCTCGTGGTGTAGCCGAAACCGAACTTCGTTATATCGCGAATGCACCTATATGACATAAATATTAACTCATAGCGACACATTTTAACAAAACAACGCTTTTTTATAACAATTTTCAAACAAGAAGAGTATAAATTTTAAGTATCCTATAAAAATGAAACTTAAACAGATTATGAAAAACTAGGGCCGCCTTAATAGCATGCAGGGCGCATGCTGTTTAAAATCGAACTGAAAAATTACGTATACATGAAATAAAGCATTTTTAAAATATGCAATAATTTTAAGAAATTTAAGACGTATTTTGATTACCCCAAAAATTCAACGTATATGAAATAAAGCATTTTTTAAATATGCAATAATTTTAACAAATTTAAACATGTTTTGATTCCCCCAAAAATTCAATGTATATAAAATAAAGCATTTTTAGACTATACATAATTTTTTTTTTAAAAAATGACATGGTAACCAGTTGCAATCCTCGAATAATTAAACTTTGAAAACCATGGAAGGTAATTAAAATAATTAAATTGAAGAAAAAAATGCGTTAAGGTATAACAAATGAAAAAGAAAATCAAAAGGTATTGATCATTTCATCAAACTGAGCAGTTATTAAAACATCTTTCAATGCGCATCAGACATAACCAGTTTAAAAGTTGTTGTCCCATAGTGCTATGTAATTCTATAAACTCTTTCGATTATTACTTTATTTAACTAATTCCATAAAAACTAAACAGAGTTGGTGGAGGTCATGCATTTTTAGAGACATTATGACTTAACATAAAACTTGCTCACATTAATTTTATTTAACATAAATATTTTTTCAGGTACGCAATGATATATCAACAGGAAGTGAGATTCGAGTACCCAAAAACGCCATCGCAATATACAGTCCCTGGCCAATATTATTAGACATAATATAAGATTCTATGTAAATTATAATTATCAGGCTGTCTATACAGCTGTATTGTTTTTACACGGATGAAACCGGTTTCTCATTTGTTTACGGTCCTGAATCAATTGGTTAACACTGCAATGCAAATTTGAAAATAAATACAAATAGGAAGTATATAAAAAATCTCCTGAATAAAAACCCATTACATGTATGTTTAAATATTAAAGTATTGCATATAAACTCGTGCAAAATATGTCATTATTTAAAAAAAACTACAGTGCGTCAAATAAATCGATCTAATAACTATAATATACTGATATAATTCTTGATATAATAAATATTCTATAATTTATATAATATATCGTCCAATTTATCCTATCGTCAAATTTATATTATATATCGTCTAATTTAACCAATTGATCCATGAGCAAGTGCAAACCGGTTTCAGTCGCTTAAAAACAATACAGCTGTATAGAGTATCACCTGATAATTAAGATTTTACATAGAATCTTATAGTGCGTCTAATAAATAGAAAAATAGATTTCGAGTTTCCCTGGTGATAAATCATTGTAATTGTAGGTGTGTGTTATGACAGTCAATCACCATTTGTAGAAATAAAAACAAAATACACGCTTTATACAATAGAAAAAATATTTTTTTTAATAAAATATATAAAGCAATGTTGTATATCCTTAGTTTCTTTTTAATACAATTTATGAAAAGTAAGATTCTCAAGGGCCCCCTGAGTGCCAGGGGCCCCTGCCCGGATGTGTCCATACGTAAAGACGGTGCTGCGAAGGACCATAACTTTCGGACCAAATGGATGAGAATTTAAGAGGATATGTTCTTCATTCAAATTCATTCAAAGGAAGGGTTCAAAATGTTTTACACTTATTATGTGATGATATCGAAGGAAATAATGGTTTAAATAATTTCTTTGCAATTTTTCCTGAAGCAAATGACTAAATTTCGGTCGCTATATTGGAAGGTACGGCTCAGTCAGACGTTCTATTGAACATTACGATAACATTGTGTCTATGGATTAGCACACGGGACATTATGAATCGGTCGTTCTAATGGAAGGGTACATACGTGCGTAGACCGTATAATAGTTTTAACATTTAATTCAAGAAATTAAGTCGAGAATTGATTGTTCCTTTTTTTTATCAAGTTATCTTTTAAGTATGAAACATCGGAGTCTCAGAATCGAAGTATTTTTCTGTGTTGCATAACTTATTAAATGCTTAATACTATAAGGTAATTTAAAAAAAAAAAAAAAGTTCTATTGAGCTGTAAAATACACATGAAAATAACAGTGAGTAAATGTGTTGTTTTATTTGAGAACTTACCTTTCTGACATGCTTCTTCTTCGTCTTTAAACTCATCGCGCTGGGAAAAACAAAAACATCTCATATTGTCAAAAGAGGGAAGAAAAAAAAAATACTAGCGATAAAGATGCGCCAATGTTTACAACATAATTATTCTCTTTCATCTAATTGTAACTTTCCGCCGCTCATTTCTTCCCACTATTGTTGAGGCAACAAGTTTTGCCAAGTTGAAACGTCATCAAAAATATGACGTAGCCGGCGCTTCAGGTAGTAATAGTGTGGTCATACACCTTCGTTTCCGAAATACCTTTGTCGTCGTTGATTCAACAGTTTGGAACAGACGTAATAGGATATATTAATGATTTATTTTCAATCATTTCTTAAAAAATTGTTCTTCAAATGGATGTAAATAGGAAAAAAAATATTATTGTAGTTGATTCAACATTTTTAGAATAGACATAAAAAGAAATCTTATTGATTTATTTTCAACCATCTTTTTAAAAATCGTTCTTCAAATGAATGTAAATAGAGAAAAATATTATTGTAGTTGATTCAATAGTTTAGAACAGACGTAATAAGAAATCTTATTGATTTATTTTCAATCAACTCTTTAAAAATCGTTCTTCCAATGAATGTGAATAGAAAAAAAATATTATTGTAGTTGATTCAACATTTTAGAATAGACATAATAAAAAATCTTATTGATTTATTTTTAATCATCTCTTAAAAAATCGTTCTTCAAATGAATGTAAATAGAAAAAAATATCATGGTAGTTGATTCAACATTTTCAGAATAGACATAAAAAAAAATCTTATTGATTTATTTTCATTCAACAATTGAAAACTCGTTCTTCAAATAAATGTAAATAGAAAAGAAAAATATCGTAGTAGTTGATTCAGCATTTTTAGAACAGACTTAAAAAGAAATCTTATTGATTTATTTTCAATCATCTCTTAAAAAATCGTTCTTCAAATGAATGTAAATAGAAAAGAAAAATATCATAGCAGTTGATTCAACAGTTTAAAATAGACATAATAAGAAAAAATAATTTATTTTCAATCAACTCTTTAAAAATTATTCTTCAAATGAATGTAAATAGAAAAGAAAAATATCATTGTAGTTTATTCAGCATTTTTAGAATAGACTTAAAAAGAAATCTTATTGATCTATTTTCATTCAACATTTGAAAAATCGTTCTTCAAATGAATGTAAATAGAAAAGAAAATATCATAGTAGTTGATTCAATAGTTTAGAATTGACGTAATAAGAAATCTTAATGATATATTTTCATTCAACACTTGAAAAATCGTTCTTCAAATGAATGTAAATAGGAAAGAAAAATATCATAGTAGTTGATTCAATAGTTTAGAATAGACGTAATAAGAAATCTTAATGATATATTTTCATTCAACATTTGAAAAATCATTCTTCAAATGAATGTAAATAGAAAAAAAAATATTATTGTAGTTGATTCAGCATTTTAGAATAGACATAATAAAAAATCTTAATGATTTATTTTCAATCATCTCTTAAAAAATCATTCTTCAAATGAATGTAAACAGAAAAGAAAAATATCATAGTAGTTGATTCAACAGTTTAAAATAGAGATAATAAGAAATAATGATTTATTTTCAATCAATTCTTTAAAAGTCATTCTTCAAATAAATGTAAATAGAAAAAAAAAACATCAATAACTTAATTTCTTGTGTTTTGGCAGTATTTGAGTTTAAAAATATGTATGATTGAGAAACGAGAGCAAAGGTATTAATGCGTCGTTTTACTGTCGCGCCTTTATCGTTTGTCATTTTATCATGGATTGCTATTTTAAACTATTCATTAAAAAATGTAGATAAAGCAATTATAAAAATTACATACTTTTTTTCTTTATTATTTTTTTCTTTCTAAATTTAGAATTTTTAGATCAGTGTACATAGCATAAAAAATATTGCACTTTTGGTGAAATAAAATGGTACTAGTTTTAAAATGTCATTTGAAACTTCGCATTTACGGTTCTGAAAAACATTTCAATTTTATTTCTATGAATCTAATTATTTATTTTATTATTTATTTTATTTCATTATTATTCATTTTATTATTATTTATTTTATTATTATTTATTTTATTATTATTTATTTTATTATTATTTATTTTATTATTATTTATTTTATTTATCAATATATTTTATTTATCAATATATTTTATTTATCAATATATTTTATTTATTTCAATTTTATTTCTAATGCCCATCATAGGTTATAATATTCCTTTCAAATATTGAATACCACATCAACATTTGGAAAAAATTTTATTGTTCATACATTATTTAATAATTTATTGTATTTTTAACGAACGCTTGGAGAAAAAAATTTAAAATATTTTGAAAACTTAAATTTTCAAAAGAATTGCAACAAATACATAAAAGTCGTGAAAAGAACGATTCAAGTTAAAGCTACAGAAGTATTTAACGGATAGAAATATAATTAATATGTTATTTAGTGAGTTTAATACATTACGAGGAAAAAATGCATAAACTAGACAATAATTTAACACTCTCCGAATTTTTATTTCTTTCCAACTATGTCACTTCAACTTGCAGTACAAGCCCGAATTTGTGCTTATTTCATACTGTAAAAATACTGTAATACTGGTATACATCAATGTTTTTTTGTGAAATATAATAATAATATTTCTTCGAAGATTTTATTTTCATAATTATCAAATTTTAATAATTACTTATGAATAATTAATGCTTACGCTGTCTTTTAATAACGGGAGAACGACGCACCAATCTCCGAGTTATTTTTTGCTTCTTCTGTACCATGATGATTAAATTAGACGTATATTAATCGACATTTAACTTAGATTATAAGGATCTTAATCTGACTATATAAGATAAATATTTTTTTTTTTTTTTACATTTTTATCGATTTAAATTTTTAAAAGAAAAGAATAAAAAAGAGTAGGAGGAAGTTATCTTGAAGAACACATGACATTCGAAAGTAATCTATCTGAAGAAAATTCATCTGCATATGTTTAGAGATCAATTCTTTTTGACATGTTGTTTTGTAGTTGTCATAGTAACATATGCACGCTAAGAGCAAAATGCTATGATAACTATGACCGAACAAAACAATTGGAGTTAAAGAAATAATATTTATGAATGTAATATTTTACAAGTAAATGTCGAAATGGAAATAATTCTTTTATTTGTAAATAATTAAAAAATAATGCATTGTGCTGCAAAAAAAATATGCCCCCACTCTAAAAAGTAGAGCATTTGTGTTTCAAAATACAATTAAGAAATAAAACCGTTACAGATTTTTTTTTTCAACATACATATATTTTATGCTATTGTGTTCAGTAAACATATATTTATAAAAACTAAAAAATAATAATAACATTTCCCCATTATTGCAGTTGTGGTGGCAGGGAGAGCCTGGTTGGTAGGGTGCCATGCCCACGCCAAGGTCGTGAGTTCGATCCCCGTCTGCCGAAGACTCTAAGTGTACAATGTGGTGACTTGTGCAAGCTAAATATGTCGGAGTCACAAAGTCTTCTAAGTTCCCATAACAAATCAATACCTCTGGGCGCACTGGATAGGAGATTGATCATGCTTTGGTTCAGGTCAAAATAACGATCTGAGGATGAATGGTTTGCAAATGTGTCATTCCCATATAACGGGCTGTGACGTATATGTGTGATGGAAGTCAAATTCTTAGCCATAGATGGCGCCACTGAAAAACAAGAAGAAATGCACCCCTCTGCCTTTAAAATAGGCTTGTCAGTACTGACAAGTGGCATAAGACAACAACATCGTAGTTTTTGTTATTTCAAGGGATTGGTTTAATCCAGTGCATATGTTGGCACTGAAGCATCGGAGATATGACAAAATTAACGATTTGCCACCGGTTACAGTTCAAATAAATATGACAATGGGCGATTGAAAAATTGCTTACCAGTCACCACTTTTTTGCACCTCCTGTTTATTCCGTAATTTTTTTTTCTTCCTTAATATGGTGATATTTTGAAGTCATTTTATTTATTTTTTATTTTTTTATTTAATCTGAAAATTGCTTTATTTCACACTCGTTTCTAAATTTTTTTTTTATTTTAGAAATAAATGTTAAAATGGTTCTCTAAGGAGAAATATTTCGTCGGTTATACTACAGGCGTTTTTTAGTCTCCATTTTTAAAGTAAAATACTACGCAAAAGCTATTTGCGAGATGCAATACGTTATTTCAGAGCATGCGCAGTATCGCTCAAGAATGGAAAATGAGCCCCGGTGCCTCAGGGGATAGAGCAATTGCCTTCAAATGAGGCGAACCGGGCTCGAATCCCAGCGATGGCTGGTCGATACGAATTCCACATCCGGCCTGCACCGACCATAGTGCTGACGTAAAATATCCTCAGTGGTAGATGGATCATGAGTTCCCTTGCCATCAAGGTAATCGTGGAAGGTTTTCGCGCTTTTCCTCTCCATGTAACGCAAATGCGAGTCAGTTCCATTAAAAAAGTCCTCCACGAAAACAAATTTCTCCCAATACTTGATCCAGGAGTTCCCTTGTCTTCTGGATAGGGTTCAAAATTACAAGACTGGGGAGTTTAACATTAGTAGTTGTAAATCCAAAAAAAATTGGGTCAGCTGTTTTACGGTTATGAAATAAAATAAAATGATAGAGGCAAATGTTTACATTGAAACAGTTCAACGACGTTTATAAAAAAGAGTGGAAAATAAGGTTAACGCTACCATTATTAACGTAATTCAAAAGCTCTACAATATCACAGGATTATTTGATATTAAAGACTCATCGCTTTTATTACAAGTCTTGAATTTGAAATAAGTATCAAAAATCAAAAACATAATAGAAGAAAGAGAACATTAGGAAAGGATGATCAATAAATATTATAAGTAAATACCTTTAAATCAGGAATAAATAAAATTTTACAAGTAAACATTTTTTCAATTTTAATTATTTTTTATGATGACAACTAAATAATGTGGATTATCATCTGACAAAAACTGGATCATAACATGTGCTATTCAATGCGAATGCATGGACGAGTCACCATTTTCACCTGATTTTTACATTGTATGTATGCAACAATTTATAAAAATATTAATTGACAAATATGGGCGATGTATCAAATATATAAACGTATCTAAACCAAGGAGTTATAAATTAAAATAGATCTAATGAAAACCCTATT